TTCCCGCCCCGGCCGAAGACGTGCTGCACCCGCGTCATCACATAGACCACGAAGTCCTGCAGGGAAAGTGAAGATGCGCTCAGGGAGCGGTCCCCGGGGGATGGACGTTTCCAAAGAGACCTCCTGCCCGGCCGGCCTGCGCGGCTCAGCGTTGCGCGTTGGCCTATGAATCAGGAGGTCACTGGTTCGATTCCAGTCACACACCCAGGTTTGGGGCTTGATCCCCAGTCGGGGGCGTTGCAGGAGGCAGCTGATCAATGATTCTCATCATTGATGTTTCTATCTCTCACTCTCCCTTCCTCTCTGAAATCAATAACAGAATATCTTTTAAAAATAAAGAGACCTCTTTAAGACAATGACAGTCTACTCTCCCATCAACTCCGCCCTCACATGAACACTTCCAAGGAGGTCTCCCCGGATCCCAAAGGACTCGCCAATCACCCCCAGGAGTGCTGGGCTGTCCCCTAACATCCAGCCTGAACACCCGATTCTTCCAAGTCTTTTTTTTTTTTTAATTGATTACAGAGAGGAAGGGAGAGGCAGAGAGAGATAGAAACATCAATGATGAGAGAGAATCATTGACTGGCTGCCTCCTGCACACCCCACACTGGGGATGGAGCACAAAAACCAGGGCATGTGCCCTGACCGGGAATCTAACCGTGACCTTCCAGTTCATAGGTCGACACTCAACCACTGAGCCACACAGTCGGGCCAGGAACCCCCTTCTTGACATGCGTTCTACCATTCCCCTCCCTCAAAAAAAAGTGGATGATTCCCAGATCTTTCTCCAGTAGATGCTCCCATCCTCTCACCTCCCCTGAATGGACTCTTTCAAAGCAATCGCTACAGTGGACTCTCCCATAATATCCCACCCAAAGAAGGGGTACTTCCAAGGACAGTGTGCCCCCATTGCTACAATGGACTATTCCATCACCCCCCCCCAAAGAATGGACCTTTCCAAGGTAACCTTTCTCCAAGGAACATTCCCATTTCCCTGCCCCTTGCCCCACTTACCCATCATTCCACCCCCATGATGGAGGCTTCCTAAGACACTTCCCCTTCTAAATACAGTTTCTTTCAATATTCCCAAAGCAAGGAGTGGGTACCTTTAAAGAGACTCCCCCTTTGAGCAAAGATTTCTTCATTATCTCCACCCCATGAATGTTCACTTCCAAGGAGACCCCCTTTCTACACTGGACTCTCATTTTTTCCCGGCCTATGATGGACTCGCTTCCGAGGAGACATAATCCTACAATGAACTCACCTATTACCGGTCCCCCCTCTCTCATGATGGATGTTCCCAAAGATGCTCTCCCATCGATGGGCGCTCTCAATATTCCCATCCCCCAAAAAGGACATCTCCGTATAGTGGCACTTCTAGTAACCCCACCTTATTTTTTTTTTTTTTTTAGAGAATTTAAGAATTTTTGTAAGAACTATTCTTTTTTTAAAATATATTTTATTGATTTTTTTTTACAGAGAGGAAGGGAGAGGGATAGAGAGTTAGAAACATCGATGAGAGAGAAACATCGATCAGCTGCCTCCTGCACACTCCCTACTGGGGATGTGCCCGCAACCAAGGTACATGCCCTTGACTGAAATCGAACCTGGGACCCTTGAGTCCACAGGCTGACGCTCTATCCACTGAGCCAAACCGCTTAGGGCACCCCACCTTATTAATAGATGTTTTCAAGGACCTCCTTTTAATGGAGGGCCCCATTGCACCCACCAAAGGAAGAGGTGCATTGCAGAAGACCCTTTCCTAAAAATGACTCTCCCATCTCCATCCCAGGAAAACGGAAGCGCTCCGTCCGATCCGCCTCTTACATTAGACCCTTCTGTTCTCCATTCACATCTGAGAGAACAGTCATTCTGATATTCATACATCCTCTTCCCACACTGAGCTCTCCCATTACCCTTACCCAACGGGTGGACTTTTCCAAAGAGACCCCTTCCTACAGTGGATTTGCTCATCTGCCTCTGGGAAAATGGGCCTTTTCAACCTGCCCTCTTTCTGAAGGTAGACGCTCCCATTTTCCAGCCCTGTCAAAGGAATGGAATGACCCAAAATATATGGCCCTAGCTCATTTGTCTCAGTGGATAGAGTGTCGGCTTGCGGACTGAAGGGTCCCAGGTTCGATTCCGGTCAAGGGCACATGCCTGGGTTGCAGGCTCAATCCTCAGTAGGGGGCATACAGGAGGCAGCCAATCAATGATTCTCTCTCATCATTAAGGTTTCTATCTCCCTCTCTGAAATCAAAATATATTTAATATATATATACATACATATGTATATGAACCTCCTTTCTAAAATGGGCTCTCCTGTTCCTTAAACCAAGAAGGGATGCTTGCACAGCAGACACAGTGAACTCTCAGATTATGGTCACCCAAGAATAGAGGCGTGCAAATAAATTCCTTTCTATAGTAGGCTCACCTCTTACTCCTTTCCCCAAGGAATGGACACTTCTAATCAAGCCTCTTTCTCACAAAGGAATTTCTCATGAACTTCACCCAAAAGAATGGATGTTTCCCATGTCTCCCCCTCTTCCCATAAAAGACCGTCCCATGCTCCCCAAATAGATCCCGCCAATTTGACCACATTCCCAATATAGACCCTTTTTTCCCCCAATCTTTTCTGAGGAATGAGCTGTTGTAATAGATGCAACCCTTTCCTACCATGAACTTGCTCCATCCTGTTGGTCAACAAAGGAATGACTTCTGTTCTGTGCAAACTCTTCTCTGAATAGTCTTAAACTCTCACCCACATTCACAGCTAAGCCATGAGCCCATTGGATCTCTCTCTGATAGTAGAAATAGGACTGTTCCATTAGCTCACCACCTCCTATTGATCCCAACCGTACCTGTTGAGCTTGGCTGCCCCAAAGCAGACACCACTATAAGGATGATTCTCCTAATCAGCACACAAAAATATGAGTATTTCCACTAATACATTACAGTTCTGTGGATGAAATAACTTCCCACCGACTCCCAACTGCCAGTCCTTTCTCCCTCTCTGCTCCTTAACACTCCAACAAGTCGACTGCCACCCAAAGATGTCAAATAGAAAGATCAGAACCACCTGCCCCCATCAACCATGGTCCAATCGTTCCAGTGTAAGCCACCTTTTAAAAAGGGATTCGTCCACTCCTCTACTGGGAATAGAGGCTCACCCAGAAGACAGACTCTTCCATTACTGCCCCTCAGGGCACTTTTATGGAGATCTTTCTACAACAGGCTATTCCATTCTCTCTTGGGAACTACAGTGCCTTCCCCAGCTTTGAATGAAGGGAACTATTCCCTACTCATCCCGGAATCTTTCTCAGCCATCTATCCTCCTCCACTCCTACTATCCTCTCCGACAATATCTCCTACCCTGTCCTAACCCAGAGGTTCTCAACCTGTGGGTCGCGACCCCTTTCGGGGTCGAACGATCCTTTCACAGGGGTCGCCTAAGACCATCGGAAAACACATATATAATGACCTATTGTTTTTGTGATGAATCGCTATGCTTTCATTATGTTCAATTTGTAACAATGAAATTGGGGGTCACCACAACATGAGGAACTGTATTAAAGGGTCACGGCGTTAGGAAGGTTGAGAACCACTGCCCTAACCGGTTTGGCTCAGTGGATAGAGCATCGGCCTGCGGACTCAAGGGTCCCAGGTTCGATACCGGTCAAGGGCATGTACCTTGGTTGCGGACACAGGAGTGTGCAGGAGGCAGCTGATGGATGTTTCTCTCTCATCGACGTTCCTAATTCTCTCTCCCTCTCCCTTCCTCTCTGTAAAAAATCAGTAACATATATATTTTTAAAAAATATCTCCTACCTTGCTGGGACCACACCTTCCAGTACAACCCCCACATTCTGGGGGTTGTAGTTCTGTGGCCCTTCAACCTAAGGGTGGGGCACAGGGCTCTCTGGGGGAGCGAGGCTGAGCTCACCTGGGCGTCCTGGTAGCCCTGGAGCAGCAGGAAGTAGGGCCGGTTGCTGGGGGCCTGGATGAGGCACTGGGTCAGCTGGTCGAAGTCGCTGGGGTCGGTAGGTACTATCTGGGCATCCGCTGCCCCTGGAGCCATGCTCAGCGCCTGCTGCCTGCGCTCCTGCTGCCGCCTGCGCCGGCCCTGCAGGCTGAGCTCCGACACGCTGCGCCG